GTTGTCAAAGTACACTTGGAACTTTCCAGCATCTAGCGTGGCACTCATGACGATCACCTGTGCAGGAAGCAGAAAACATGGTACATGTTGTTTTTCTGACTTGGCTTGAAAAGGCCGGTGCTAAATGGAGCCGTCACAGACAGGGGGAGAATACAGTATGAGGAAAACTAAGTGTGTTTTGACCAATAAAGCAGGTTAACATGTTATAGTAAAAAACCCTATTCAAGACTCAGAAAGGTCTGTGTCTGTAGTGGGCTCCTCAAGACCTTCTACCAGTCTATGGTGGCCAGTGCACTCTTCTTTGCTGTAGTGTGCTGGCAGGGTGGCGTTAAGACTGGTGAGGCCAACAGGCTCGAAAAGCTTGTGAGGAAAGCTCGCACTGTGGTGGGACTGGACCTGGACAGTCTGGAGACCGTGGCTGAGAGAAGGGTGAAAATCTGTGCAAGCCTGGACAATCCTTCTCACCCTCTGCACGACAAGCTGTGGCTGATGGGCAGCTCATTCAGCCAAAGGATCATCCCACCCAGGTCCAAGACTGAACAACTCAGACACTCCTTTGTGCCAACCGCCATCAGAGTGTACAACAGCAGTTTGGCTCAAGTTACATCCAGCTCTGAACTGACTTATTTTGGCATCTGGTCAATATGACGTGTATTTTACTTATCTTTTTTATTTATTTATTTTTCTTTTTTTCCCCCTCTCTTTTATCTTTATTCTATTCAATGTCTTTTTTGTCTTGTGCTGCTGTGACATTTGAATTACTCCTCTGGGGGATCAATAAAGTCTTATCTTATCTGAGGACCTTGAAAATGAGCATAATGGGTTCATTTCAACAGTGATGCAATTCCTTATGGGCCACAGATCAATGTTTTTGAAACGTGATTAATTTTCTTAACAGCCTACCTATTTAGTGAAGCACTTGGTTGTAGCAACACACAATATACACCATGGTAAAAGCAAGCACATCATTTCTTGCAGTCATTAAAAAATTAACCAGTACCTTCAGATCTGGTCTTTGACGCACCACCTCCTTGAGTACTCCCATCAGGATGTCTGTGGCCAGAGTTCGCTCGTGGGCCTCGTCCAGAATGATGACACCATATCGCTCCAGCAGCGGGTCATTCATAGCTTCTCTTAGTAACATACCGTCTGTCATGTACCTAAAGAAATAACAGACATGCTTTGTTAGAGTGATAAAATCTGGATTAAAACAAACAAGACTGGTTGCATTGTGCCTCTGAAATTAAGTTATAGTGCATTAGCAGACCTCAATCACTTACTTGAGAATTGTCTTAGCAGAGCTGCAGTCCTCAAATCGAATGGAGTAGCCGACTTCCTGTCCAAGCATGACATCCATTTCGTCTGCCACCCTTTGAGCTACGCTCATAGCTGCCACTCTCCTGGGCTGAGTACAGGCTACTGCCCGCTTAGGCCCAGGCAAACCTCTCACCATGTCCACACACCACTGTGGGATCTGGAGATTGAAGCACAAGTTGCAATACTTTCAGTTAAAATCATCTGATAAAAATCACTTTTGGGCAACACTGTGCCATCATACTGGATATGCTGGTACTTCAAAAGCTTTCACCACTCATTACACAAGCTTTTAGTGTCTGACTTATAAGATACTGTCTAATTAATTGCATTACAGACCTGTGTTGTCTTCCCAGAACCAGTTTCACCAACAAGGACAAAGCTCTGATGACGTGTGATGATATCGCTGAAGCTCTCCTTGTACTCCCACACCGGAAGCTGTAACCTCTTCTTCAGGATCTCGTAGAAGCGCGGCGTGTGCGGCAGGTTGGTGAATGGGTTGATCTGCTGTTGCATAGCCATCTGCTTGATGGGCGCAAGGCATGGCACAGGTGCCGTGCTGTTAGACGGGACACTAGGAGGCTTCGAGTCTCTATCCCGGTCTCTATCCCTGTCCCGGTCCCTATCTCGGTCCCTGTCCCTGGAGCGATCCTCACGGTCTCTGTCCCGGTCCCTGTCTCTCCTGTCAACAACAGGGCAGGGCATTGTTAGAAATATTTCCAATGTGAAGGAAATTATTGTGAAGCTGCGTTGTGATTTCTGCTTTTACTACTGTCAAAATCACAAAGGATAAATATTTGTTTAGCCAGGCTCACATCACGTGGGGTGAATAGCAGAGAAAGAGACCTTAGCCATGTTTACAACTTGGAAGCATTCACATCAGACAACTCCCTATGGATGTATGAATAATGATGGATGTTGACCTGAACACTATTTGCAAGTCTAAAACTAGTAATTATGGTGAGTCCTATCAGACATAACACTATGTATTAGCCTGACCTTATCTATAAAGTAGAATTCAAGATAATGGATTATTGAGGCAGGTACTGATAATGATAACTGTCAGTTTGCACAGCACTTAATATTACTTTTTTTTATTCAACCCTCAAGTTGTTTCCTACAAAATATGATCTCAATTAAAAAAATCACGACTGGGATATACTGGCATATTTTACTGTTGACTTTTGACAGTCATTTTAGAGGTGTTATGCAATATGAGACCAACTTTAGGGCAAGGCTGGACAAAAAAATACACTCATACCTTGATAAAATGCAATATATTTAAACAGATCCCAACTTAACGTTACCCTCCAAAATAAGACTGAATGAATAATAATTTTATCTAAAAGTGAACAGGATAATATGAAAGCAGTGTTCATTTCAGGGCTGTTTTATTAGACAGTAATAGTTTTAGCTAAGTGTAACGCTACCTAACGAAACTGGCAAATAAACGAAGTGAGTTAATAGAAGATAACGAAAGCCGGTTAGCACGCATGCAGTAACAGTAACATTACGGTTTGTTTGGGGCTCTTAACGTTATCATTATTAATAGTAGAACACTAATGTTATACCAAGAACCAAATCTCAATCTTTCAATATTTTTAGCTAGGGTTAGTCATTTAAAGTTAGCTAGCTATGGTTGTTAGCAACTCGCTAAGTGAACGTTAGCCACACATACACGTGCCTCAATCGTAAAGGTAACGTTTGTTAGCTAAAGCCGTCCTCACTAGCTAACCTAAATTAAGTCAATAACACAATACAGCTAAACGACATACATTTATAACCCTGTATCAGATGGACACTCAGGTGCCGTTAAACTGTGGCTAAGACCAGAGCTACAACGTTAACGGCTGAGGTTATATTGTCTCGGTTCTTCATCCATGGTGGCTATTAGCCAAATAACTAGCATCGGCTAACAGCTAGCTAGCACCTAACTGGTTAAAGCAGACATGTTAACTTTGGAGCTCCACTTACCCTTCAGACCTCTTCTTACTAGAGGAGTAGTCATCACCCAAGTCCAAGCGATGTCTTTTGGACATCTTTAGGAGATAATATAGCTTATATTGAATCTATTAACGCGGACACAATTCTACCGGGTAATAACTCCAGATTCCTGTGCTTGTGTTTTCTTCTTTTCATTAATTTTACAGCGGCGGTGCGGATCACATTACCGCCACCTGCTGGTCTGGAGTGTTTAGTGGCAGTATAACACACTGCAGGGCTGGATGACCACAAGGTGCAGAGTGAGAGGAGTTTTTCTGGCAAATTATTTGTGATGATTTCATTGAAAATGTACAGGAGTATGCATCACTGTAGCACAATATTCACTACGGTGATAGGGCCCTAAATATAACATAAAACCAGTAATGTCCTGAAAATGGTTTGTCAAAATGTGGTTTGAAGACCTTCATTATGTCAGTTTTGTGCTAATATGAATGAATGAATGAATGAATGAAGCAAGCAAGCTCATTTTCAAAGCAGTTCCATCATGTTAACATTTCATTTCATGCACAATTTGTACGGAGCTGCTTTGGTTGCTTCTTCACACATGATAAGAGCAGAAACAACTAATCATCGGTCAATTTTTTGTTAATAAATGTCACAAAGTAGTGAAAAAAGTCCAACACAAATTTCAGAGGTGATGTCTTCAACTTGTGTTAGACCCACAGTCCAGTTATATATAATATATCCAATAAAGCATAAGATGAAAAGCAGCAAATCCAATTTTCTTTAGAAATCTCAGACCAAAAATTTGGGGGTGTTTTTACCCAATGAATGACTCAGCTATGAAAATGATTTCCACTTAATTTTTCAGTTGACTGACTGTTTCAGCACTATCTTGAAGAAGTAAAGCTGTACAGGACCACGAAAAAACAGATATAATAGGCCTACTATGGGAAGGAAGAGTTGCACAGTTATCATTCCCACACTCACCATAGTGACATTTCTGAAAGGTTGCACATATATATTATGATATATTAAACATTCACTGCATTGCCTCCAATCTCAAGATGTCAAGGAAACTACTGTGTGGGGTCTCTTTTACCTTGAAATTACTGAATTGCTTAAAAGGAAAAAAAGAAAATCTAGGGGAAACTATTCCAATAAACCAAACAACTACAATATTTACATAAAAAATGTCGTGCCTGCTGTCGCTCAAAAAAATAGTTCCTACATGAATCTGTGGATTATCTTGAGTAACCTGACCATGATTTTTGGAAAGAGACATTGTTGAGTTTTTCAAATGTATTTTTTGGCGCTTTGAGCACCACAAGCTGAGTGCCATTCAGTTTCATTATATTCCAGAGAAGGCAGACATCTCTACAGCTGATATCTCCATCACTCTGCAGCTCACAGCAAAACAATTCAGAGCAATAATAACCACTACAGGTAAGAGGAGAAATATGTATTTTTGATTTGGGGGTGAACTGTCCCTTTAAGGATGAAGAATTTCCGTCCCAAGTAAAGGCATAATTCTCAGCACGATAACTGCATGCTTCATTTTTCATTTTCAGACATATTTCATAACCAGATGATTAAATCAGGATCAGCTGCACGCCTGGAGCAAACAATGAAAACTTGCCTAACACCAGCCTGAATGCGTCTTAATGTGGGAAAAAAAAGCGCAGAGCTTTGCTCCACCCTCAGCGAACAACGCCTCCTGACGCGCTTATACAACACTTTTATGAAACATTTTGCATGTTGACACGTCTTCACCATCAGCACTGAGCTGCACATCAACAACAACGGGGGCTTTATTGTTGTTTGTTTATGGTGAGCATGATGCGTCTGCACGGGTAGGTGGACTTTCTCATGTAGCTGTGTCTCAAGTCTGTGTTAATTAACTTCAGCTGCAGAGCAACATACTGCGACATTATATGTGTCCAGTGAGAGAAACAGCTTGTACCATTCATATAGCTTATTATTCTTTTACAGAGTAAATATTCTGTGCAATTAATGTTGAGTGCATTTGTGTTAAATAGGTCAATGTGGTAAAGGAATCTGATCTGCAACACATCACCCTTTGTAACAACAGCATTACAAGCAGAGCTGAAAACTAACAGTCAAGTACTGTGGAATTTTTGAGGAAATGGCTCCTAACTTTAGTCTGCTTTTTACTTTAACTAAACTACAATTTAGTGGATAAAGAAGAACTAAGTGCATTTGCTTAAGTATATTTTAGTGTGCCAGAGTGCACACTTCATGTATGTCTTTAGCCTGCTTTAGCTGAATAATTCTCCTTTTTGCTATTTTAAAATATTAAAATATTGTACTTTTTACTCTATTATTATTTTTCACAACTGTAAGTACTTTGTATAATAGGAATTTTTTGTATAAAACACATGATGATGTTGAATTTGAGCATCTTAAACCACCTCTTAATTAATTAGTTACAACAGTCCCATGATGTAAAACTAAAAAAAGGAGTACTTAAGTACTTTTTCTGACGCCTGTGTTAACCTATGCAGGACTTTAACTTGGAATAAAGTATATTTATAAAGTGCTGTTACTACTTTTATTCAAAGGATCCAGCACAGCTTCCATGTACTTGATATTTTCATGCAAACCATATGATGATTGTGTAAATATGACGCACTTCCCTAATAATTTTAATATCTTTCAGGTCAACAGGCATGATGGTAGCAGTACTGTTGGCTCTGCTGGCTTTCTGTCAACAATGTGCCTCAGCTGACAGTGAAGCTCCACCAGAGGTCTCTCAGTACAATGGCACCCTGTATGCAGCCTGCAAAATGAGACCCAGCACCACACTACCTGACGGTCTGCCCAAAGTGTATGGCCAGGTGCTGTTCAAGCAGGAATATCCTCAGGAAAAACTCAGAGTCCTCATTCGCATCAATGGCTTCCCCACAGACAGTGATCCAGAGCCCAGGGCGGTGCACATCCATCAGTACGGAGACCTGAGCCAGGGGTGTGACTCCACTGGCGGCCACTACAATCCACATGGTGTGCACCACCCCAACCACCCTGGAGACTTTGGTAACTTTGAGCCCCAGGAAGGAAAAATCAATACGATGATAGAGTCTGAGGCAACGCTGTTCAGAGGGCTGTCTGTGATTGGGAGAGCAGTGGTGATCCATGAGAAGGTGGACGACTTGGGGCGTGGTGGAGATGCAGGGAGCCTGCTGCATGGGAATGCAGGCCGGAGGCTTGGATGCTGCATCATTGGGATATCCTCCCCTAACCTGTGGAATACGCACTATAAGCTGTTTAACAGGCGGCTGAGGAGGAATTAGTCTGATGGTCAACATACGGGATTTGCCTCTGTATTGATTAATTGTGTCCACTGTGTTCCTTGTCTGAAACAAAAAATCAATGACTTAATCAAACCCCCCCCTTTTTCCAAACATTCAAGAGAAGAACTGCTCCAACTTCATGTAAGAGTATTCCCAAAATACTAAGAATAAAGTACAGTAACTCAGATATGTTTTTATCCATGATTGCAGCAGGGTTGGTTTGTTTGGTCCACCACTTTGGTCCAGACTAAATATCTCAACTATTGAAATTTGGTACAGAAATGGTGCCCACACAATGAAATTAAAGTACCTTTCATCTAGCACCACCAGCAGGACACAGTTTGACATTTATCCTGTCAAATATCTCACATCTACACACAGATTCACACAGTTTGGTTCAGACCTTCATATGTAACAGGGTCAGTTATACAGCAGTAATAGGTGTAACAAAGTCAAATGTACGTTTGTAATATTAAGTATTATAATTCTACCTGACATGCTCAGGCCTCCATAGTCAATATGTGGAGTGTTTGATACTCAGTTTCTGTACCTCTGCATTCAACTTTGGGGAAGCTCACCTATATAGGAGTGTCTCCCACCTGTCCTCTCCCCTTTTGCTGTTGTACTCCATGGGAGAGGGGCTCGAGTTATATGGTTATAATTGACGGAGGATTTTGTTTTTACGTCTTGCTGTCAGAGTTGTCAGGAATAAACAGAGATCACCTCCAAATATATCCACTGTCTGGGCCTCTTCATATCATACATAGTCCCCAGAGGATGAATCCTACCCATTTTTTTGTTCATGTAACTTTTCCTCCATCGCCATCATCAAGTCAAAATTTCTGTACTTCTGTTTTGCCAAAGTTGGCACGCTAACATGCTAAGCTAAGATAATGAATGTGGTAAACACTACCACACCCTGCGTGACATCTGCACAGCATTACCGTATAAAGCTTCAGGGCTCATTTTGGAATCTGGTTTTCCCAGACAGTCACTGCAGCCTAAAATTACAACAATCCAGTAGTTGAAAACCTTTTATTTTGCAGAAATAAATCCATTTTTTACATTTGTTTTGCACACATATGGCTCTATGTCATTTCTATCTGGTGAGGTAATAATATCTTTCCACCACAAAAACACAAACAAGACATCAGTTCTGGTAATCTACATGTTGTGCCTTCATTGTGTTAGAGACTTATAAACTCTGTAAGTGTACTCTGTAATAAGACATCTGTTCAGATTCTTGTAAATCTTCAAATATGTGCTTTGAAGACACCTGTTGTGGGATTAAATAAGAGCAAGGTTTAATTAAAATAAATAAATAGTATATTATCATGCAGCATTTTCTATAGCTTTGATATTGTTTTCATTGTTAAAATAAAAAGCTGGTGTAAGGGTGTTTAGCAAAAAAAGCAAAATGCCCCACATTGTAAAATTTACAACAATATAAGAGATGAAACTGGAAATGTCTGTACTGTGTTTGAGGAAATAAAATAAAGCTGCTGCTTGGCTAAAAAACATTCATCACAGCTGGATGTCTGTTTTTGGATGTACTGATCAAAAAGATACAGTGGAGTACTTCAGCGTGGAGGGGGAAGTGTGGACGGAGGTAGAAAGATAAAGGAGACTGTGTCTTTCTGTGCATGGTCTTCATTTTGAGTTCTATGTGAAACCCTAAATCAGTGTTTGACCAGAGTTAACAGCTGATTTTATTCTCCTTCACTGCTGAGTACAATTCTCAGTCAAAGCGAGAGTTCCCACGACTAAAGCAAATGATCAAAGATGGAAGTTTTGTGCGTCAAAGGCAGAAAAATCGAAATCATTCCACATTTTTTTGCCACTTTTTATCACCATAAATCACAGTTTCCCTCCCTCTGATACATTATGTAACATTAACATTATGTAAAGCTTCAAACTTTGTGCCAAGAGTTTGGGAATAAGTGAAAATGGTGTCTGCACTCAAAACACCTGGATTACATTTGGATTAATTGGATTGTGAATCAGGCCGCAGCCGCACTAATGCTCTTCAGGCGGAATAGTTGCAACTCTGTGCCAAAACCTGTTGCAAGATTCTGTGGGAAAACAATCCTAAGTGGAGTGCAGGGTTTTATAACAGCATAACACTGTTCAACAACCACATCTGGGTTGCAGGTCGGACCACGACCGCACCGTGTTTTGGTCATGTTACAAGGGGTTACCCACTCGTTCCCTCTCAACTTGCCTACTGTTGTTGGCGGTTATGTTCAGGGTTTGACATTCTTTGGGCCATGTATGAATTCAAGACTCTCAAAATGGATCAAGTAAAGGAACAAATTAGATAATGAGTCGCTGACAGTTGTCAATTAACACTAAGGTTTTTCTGAGGTTAGTGATGAGTCATTCCTACTACTTTTACTTACTTTAAAATCCTCCATATTTCTTGGATTTACAGTAAGTAACAGATTATCAACACACCAGCTGTCAATCATAACTCAACAGTGTCACTTTCTCCTGTTTTTTTTTCTGCATTATTCATAAAAATCACATTACAAATGCATCATTCCTTCTTATCATTCTGAGGATTTCTCCTGGTGCTCTGCAGCATGTGAACGGCTCATGGAAGACTTCACTTTTCCTCACTGACATTAACATCTGTCCCATCCGACAGCTCTGTGTCCCGGTCTGACTGTACGTCCTCCTGCTCTTCGCCAGACCTTGCAGCAGCAGTAGCAGCAGCAGCAGCAGCAGTTAATATTGTGTTATCAATGTTTTCCTCTGTTTGAATATGCTCCGTTTCAACAGTTTCCACCCCTTCAGCGCACTTATCTGACTCATCCTTTGTTCCCACGGCATCAGAGGGGTCAGAGTTCTCTAAAGTCTGCTGTGAGTGGCAGAGGTCTGACAGATGGCGTGTGGGAGAGGAGTCGCTCGCACACTCCTCTTCTTCTGACCGCTGACTCGTTAGAGCCGTTAAATTTGCAGTGACCTGTGATTGGCTGGCGTCTGGTGTTTCTGTCTGAGGGCTCACCGGCTCTGCCTCAGCTGACTGGTGCGAGAGGTTCGGCTGGCTGGTCTCCTCGCTGGGTGGCGACTCCTCGAGAAGCTCCTCTTGACTAGTTGACACAGATGGTGCTCCACTCTCTTGGATTGGGACGTCTGTGGAGCTCTGCTGGTCGACGGCTGTTTGTCCTGACCCAGTGTCACCTGTAAGGATACAAGATTTAAGTACGATAATCTCAGCAACACACAAAATGATAGATGGTGTACACTGACAGAGGTTTAAGAATATTCACCTTCCTGTCCAGGAGACTCTGTTAACTCAGCCTGCTGAGTGTTCAGGATGATGGTGTCTTTCCCTCCTACTGTGACAGAACATTATTCAAAGTAAGCCTTTTTAAAAACTCATCTGTATATCACTACTTAAAACTGTTGGGACTGCATAGAAATGGAACAGATGTGAGAAATAATTAGAAGAAGGTGAAGTTCAAAGGTTAAAAAGTCATAAGAGGAAGTGAGAGGAACATACTTCCATATATTCCCAGGGACACATTATAAGTCAGGCCTCCAGGTAGCAAGAAGCAAAAGGACAGAAGAAAGAACAAAGAATGTAAATCATTGTTAACAGTAAGCTTCAATGACACACAATAGTCTCGGTGTATTCAGAGACTTGTGATCACCTGGCAGGCTCCATAATCCAGACATTTCTAATGTTTTTAGTTTGTTCTCCAGCTCTGCTACTCGGGTTCCAAGAATCCTAAAGACAAAAGACACACAAACAATGAAATCTGCCCGTTCTGTCCAGCATCCAAGTTATTACAGCATCTACAGAGAGTGTGAAGTACAAGATCGAGTACTTGTTGATTTGGCGTTGGTGCTGAATCACCATGTTCTTCTCGTGGATGGTTTCCAGCAGAGCTGTGGCCAGTGACTTGAGGTCGGAGATGGACTGAGGAGTCACGGGCAAACTGCAGCCGTTCTCTTCAGACAGTAGCAATTCCTTCACTGCACACACACAAAGATAGTCACAGTTTAACCCTTTGAAACCTGAGCAAATTGGCTTGGTTTCTTTCAAAAACATGGAAAGAAGGTAATGAGCAATGGAAGAAGAAATTACTCTGAAAAACTGAAAGAAATTAGTAAAAAGAGAAAATTAAAAAAAAACAAAAAACAAAAAAAACAAAAAGACAGAAAAAAAGGAAAATTAAAAATAAATAAACAAATAAGGAAATTACCTGGAAAAAGTGTTGAAAATTATAATAATTCTGTAACATAATTTAAAAATGTAATAATAATGACAGAAATGTAGTTTTTTAATATTTTCCATAGCTTTTAAAAAACATATATATATATGTATATATATTTTTGTTGGCAATTTCCAAGACATTTCTTTCAGTGTTGTCTTTTTCCCCATGTTTCTGAAAGAAATTAAATTTTTACTAATGTGCATTGTCCCCAACAAATAAATAACTAAACCAGACACCATGTGCTGTCTGCAAAATAAAGGGTTATGAAATTGTCTTTCTTCACTGCTTCTGTAAATGTTTACATGCCACTTTGTGAGACTGTACATACTGAAATGTGAGGCGTGTTTAAATAATGAACCTTCTGACCTTGTTTAGCAGAGAGCACCCCGGTCAGAGAACTACTGTTGGGTTTCCCATTGATTTTAGAGGATTTCCTACAGTCCAGGGCGCTCTGAAACCAGAGGAAAACATTATTAATTAAAGGGTTTGTGTTTTATAAGATGTGCAAAATGTAAACTGTAAACTAAAAAATATAACTGTTAAAGAAATAAACATGACAAAAAAGAAATGTAGCTACCTTGTACTTCACCAGGTTTGTTTTGAGCAGGTTCATTTCTTCTTGAAGCTGACAGAACCGGTCATGCAAATACCTGAAAGATGATTTCAAAAAGAAACCCGTCACTGAATCATTAAACCTCACCGGTTCTGTTTACATAGGAAAGAAACCTTTACAGTCATCACTCAACAAAGGTAATTTAAATATTCATATTATTTCATTTAACTAATCAAATAGTAGCAGTGTTTCAACAGCATGCTAGACTTGTTCCTTAGACTGTGGACGAACTGCTGCAGATACTCTAATATTCTCTAACACAGAGAGGCACCAGTAGAATGTCTGTAAGAAAGAGTAACACACCTGTTCTCCATGCAAAGTGCATCTATGTCTAAAATGCGTATCTCATCATTGCCCACGATGTGGTTCATTTCCAAATTGAGGCGATGAGCCTTCTGCTGGAACACGTCGCGCTCCGCTCGTACGTCCTGGAGCTCGTCTGTGAGCGACTTCACGCTGTGCTCCAGGACCTCGTTCTACAGACACACAAAACACAACGTGTAAGCAGAATATTTCATCCACTCATATTTCTCTATATTTGTGACTATTTGAAGAAAATAATCACACTACTATCCTGTTTTACCTTTTTCTCCAGAAAAGACACTTTTACGCAATTTTTGGCACATTTTTTTTTATCAACATATTTTGTACATGTTCAGGTGAAATACCGTCTCTCTTTGTAGGTTGACACAGTATTTTTCTTAAATGATACATTTTAGTGTGAAAATAGAGTTGTTGAAAAAACCTGCTTAAGTTCAATAGAATTGTTGTTGTGATGATGTAAATTATACATTTTCTTTTTTTCTTTTTTTTTTTTTTAAAGAGAAATGTTCTTTTTTCTCCAATACATATATTTGACAGTTTTGGTTTCTGACTCTAAAAATCATGATTTTTACATACAAAACTATCAAACACAAACGATCAAGCACAATTACAGCTGAAACGATTTAGCGATTAATACATAATTCATTGGCAAATATTTGATCATTGTTTAAGTCATTTTTCATGCAAAAATGACAAACACTTAATGGTGCCAGCTTCTAAAATGTGAGGACTTGTTAACTTTCCTTCTAATTATTTAATTCACCTTTAACAAATTTAAAACTTATCTTCAACTTAAACTTAAAGGACATTTTCCTCGTAATACTTTAATACTTTGACTTGAGTTATATTTTCAATGCAGGACTTTTAATGGAGTGCTTTTTACAATGCGGAATTAAAATTTTCACTTAAAGATACACTATGTAACTTTCTGCTGCTGGGGTCTTTCATAATAGAAATCGAAACAGTAACAAAAGACAAAGCTGTAAGTGCAGTAAGTTTCTCCCGGTTAGAATTCCTTCAATATTCATTTTTCAGGAGGTTTTCATCAGGAGCTGTATTATCCACAGAGGTCTCTTCCTCTCCAAAACAAACTGACCAGTTGACTAAAACCTGTAAAAACACTGAGTAAAGTAGTTTCACATTAAAAAAAAAAATCAGTGTTTCTCATATGCTGTTTGGCACGTCGCAGGTGAGCCAATGTGCATGTTTTCTGTGATGACTTCAGGATCCAGCCCTTCCAGGTTTTTTTTTTTTTTTACCAGGAGCTGAATTATTTGCAGAGGCCTTCTCCTCTCCAAAACAAACAGTCTCAGTGATTTAAATCAGTTAAATTACTGAATAAAGCAGTTTTACATTAAAAATCACTGATTCTCTGACGCTGTTCGGCACAGCAGGGACTGGAGCCGAGCTAACGCCAACATTTGCTTAACTTACTTCACTGACAGCTTAAGATTCAGAAGTCCAGTGACTTAAATCCTTCGTCCATTTAAGACAGAGTTAAAATTGACCAAGATCTAATAAGCATATTGTAAAAATGTGGCTTAAAACTGGATAAAGAGTCAATTTATTACAGCTCCTGGCACACAGTGCACATTTCTCTGGGTTTGAATGCTGTTTGGTATAATGTAAGTACACAACTTAACAAAGCATATAACATTTGTCTGGTCGTTTTTAGATATTTTATTGCCAAAAAGTTACATATATCTTTAAATAAAGGATCAGGATACTTCCTCCACCACTTAATGTATGTTGTTTAATGAAGCCATCAGCTGACATTCACCTGAACAGCTGAATTAAAGCATTTAAAGACAGAGGACTGGAAGCAGCTTGATGTTCTCACCTGCTCTCTGGCTCTTTCTAACTGTTTGACCAGATCCTCTCGTTCATGAGCAGGAAAGTGTCGAGCGCCGACCTCCTCGTCTCCCAGCCTCTGTTTGGTGATGGTCATTCGCAGGAGCTGTTGGGACAGAGAGCAGCACAGTTTGACAATATGTTGATCTACTATATTTCATCCCATTCTAATTTCTTTCCAGTCAGACTGACTTGAACGCTACTATAATGCTGGAGATCTATTCAAGACATACAAAGAGAAACACACATGCATTATATCCTTATTTGATTTTATTCCAGCTCACAGTGTAGTGCACAGTGTGTCATGGTACCTTGTTATCACCTTGAGCTTCCACCAGTCGTTGTTTCAGTTCCTTCACCTCCTCAGAAAGCTGACTGCTCTTCTCTCTGGAGTCTCTCAGTAGCTGGGCTAAGTTCACCTGGAGAAGACATGAACGCCTGGTATATGAATAAATTTACGACTGATATTTAAAGCTCTACAGAACAAGAATTTCATGTAAATATTCTCCCATCTTGTAATGTAAAATGATGAAGGTGGCAGCTGTGGTGAAGAAATATCCACACACACACTCATAAATGTGTCCTTCTTGCCAAAATAAAATTAGAGGGTTTATACTGTATGTACGCTGGCAGAAATGAGTGATTAGTGATGTACAAAGAAGAGCTCCAGGTTTAAGTCACTCACTTGATTCCTTTTCTCAGGCGGCAGAGAGAGATCTCCGTCCTATTAAAAAGGAAACAGTCAAATTTAATAGTGGACAATGACAACACTATATAATATAACTCTCATGGGGCATCCTTAGTTCAGCTCACAATGAGTTCCCTGTACTTCTTCTTGAGCCCTTGGTGTCGCTCACGGAGCTGGTTGGCCATCAGCTTGTACTGATCCCTCTCCTGCTGGCAGGTGTCCAGCTCTTTGGACAGAATCAGAAGCGCTTCTTTCTTGCTCTCCAACTTCCTCTTACAGACGAGGAACTGCATGTAAGACAATAACATGTTTTATAAGAGAGAAAGACTGGGTGGGCAGTGTCATCCTCCAAAAGCCAGAATCTTAATACTATATTAAAGGAGATGTAAGTGACACTCAGAGCATATTGATGAAGCAGAGTCAGAGCTGGGATTGCCTGCACATGGTGCTCAACATAGAGGTGGCTGAGCCGGTGGCTAGCAGCTAACAGTGCTATTAGTCCTAACAATGACAACAGTGCTGACATAGCTGTGTTAACTGAGGGGGGAACTGGAGGGTGGGCGTTACACTTCTGCACTACTGCCACTCTGCCACTGTCGTAGTGTAATTAGGTTCATTTTGTCTACTCAAAATAGATTAAGTGTAGAAAGTTTCTTTTTACCAGACAATGAGTTTTTAAGGAGATGTAGTTTACCTTGACATGTTTCGACTGTCACTTCAGTCTTCTTCAGAAGCGTCATCTGATGTGCGTCATGACGTGTCTTTATCAGCGACAGCATGAGACGTCCTGTCATTTTGGGGCGTGACCAGCCTGGCAATCTGATTTACCAGGCTGGTCACGCTTCCGGGATACCACCAGCTGATAAAGACACGTCATAACGCACGTCAGATGACGCTTCTGAAGAAGACTGAAGTGACAGTCGAAACATGTCAAGGTAAACTACATCTCCTTAAAAACTCATTGTCTGGTAAAAAGAAACTTTCTACACTTAATCTGCCACTGTCAGTCGGGGAAGCATTATAAGCAGTAACAGTCATACCAGCCCAGTGCAGAGCGGCAGTAATAAGCTAGCCAGAGGGACACACACACACATGGACTCATATGCACTAACAAGCAGGTGCAGCTGAACAATCTTCCGCAACAAAGAACAGACAAACTGATATTACAACACACACAGATGAAGCGTGACTTCATCGTCTGTGCAGGACGATATGACTCCACTATCTTTACAAAGCAAATACTGACATGCTGCTATATTAATGCTCTGAATCTGCATACAGCTCTTTGACTGGTCATTGGAGAAAATATTGAAGCAGTGGGTTCAAAGTAGGGCTGCAACTAACGATTATTTTCATTGTTGACTAATCTGTTGATTATTTCTTCGATTAGTCAACTAATCATTTTATCGAAAAATGTGTTAAAATGTTGAAAAATGTCGGTCTGTCTCTCCCAAACCCCAAAATTACGTCATCTAATGTCTTGTTTCATACTCACGCCAAAGGGTTTTAGTTCACTGTCATGGGAGAGTGTGTAAAGCTGCCAATATCTGAACGTAAGAAGCTGCATTAAGAGTATTTTGGGGTACTTTTATAGTACTTTTCTATGAAAAATGACTCAAACCTATTAGTCGACTATTAAAATAGTCACCGATTATTTTAGTAGTCGATTAGTCACAGATTAGTCGACTAATCATGGCAGCCCTAGTTCAAAATGGAACACACTTCATATCACAATAACCACATGAGACCCTCTGATATCTATCACTGTGACATATTTGTTAAAGTAGGAAAATCACATTTTTAGGTCTGCAAATTTTCATTAGAAATGCATGATTATATCGGCACATTATCTGTATCAGCCAATATCAGTTTTAAAGTGAACTAGGAGAATCGGCCAAGATGATTTTTCTTATCTTGTACAATGAATGAATATTATATACATTTAATGACACTGTATTTCATGTCTCCATCTGCTGATGGGCCGTCACAATAAGAGTATGCATGCATAATATTATGTTAATTCCACCACAGAAGAGACTTGACGAGCACTAAAATTAGGTAGGGAAAAAAGTGGATATATTGATATCAGTATCTGTTATCTGCCAAATGAGTGGTTATATATCTGCATACTGGATATCGGCAACAATTCCAATATCGTGCATCTCAAATTTTCATTATCAATTAATCTGTTGGATATGCTTTTGATTAACTGCCTATTAAATGGTGTAAAACAGTGAAAAATGCCCAACACAGTTTCCCAGAAACTCAAAGATATTCAATTTGCAATGATATAAATGAGATTATCACATTCAAATTAAATTTTTGGGGCTGTTTTCAATTAATTTTCTGTTAATTTTTTGAGACCCACAGTTGTGAAAGTGGTGCTACGCAATCAGCGGGTGGAGAAATGGCTTAAAATTTATACAACAAAGTTTCACGACATAACAACTTGTACAACACAAATGTAACATACTAGCAATAATAATAATAATAATAATCTTTACTGTCCATGTGTGGAAAATTGCCTTTGGTTTTACATCACATTAATATAACAATAACAGACATGGTTCCAGAGCAAATGGTGGTTATGAATCTAGCAAAGTTATTGCATTTGGTATGAAAGACTTTTTGCAAATGTTCTTAATTGTTGCAGCAACTAAAGAGAACATCCGGAGGGCAATCTTGTGAAGTCTTTTAAAAGGGGATGAACAGGATCGGCCACAATCTGTACGGCTTTTTGTCTCACCTGTGTTTTATTTTATTTGGTTTTATTTAACCAGGAAGTCCCACTGAGACTGATTTTTTTTACAAGGGAGACCTGGCCAAGATGGCATCCAATTAAAACACATTTAAAATGCAAAAAATACAACATATGATACAAAAATTCACATTAAAACAACAACTATTAAAACAAAGTGGCCTCTGAAGAAAAAAACAAGCACATGTCTCTGTCACCACCTTCTTCATGATGTTCTTAAATTCATCAATAATTTATAAAAACACCAAAGATGTGATGGACATGAGGATGACCATTAGCGCATCATGAGCTGTCACCAAACAGTAGTGACTGGGACAGATAATGTGTAACAACCAGAGTGAAGTAAATACACCTGCAGCCTGGTGCATGTAGTTTCACTCATCATCTGTGAATGGCACCATGCTCTGCAGGTAGAAGGAAAGCATTTACTTCCTTGTCTGCAGTCTGAGAGAAACCTGCTGAGATTTAATCCTCTTTACTGTATTTACACTAAACATCTTTAAGTATGTATGTGGCTGCAGACAGGAAGAGACACGCGGCATTTAAACGGAAACGACACAATGTACCCCTGATGTGACAGTGTGGTGCACAAACACGAGTGGAGGTTATACTGTAGTGAGTATTTTTTTTTATCCCACTCTCCTTCCTGCGTGTGTCCAGTCTCACCTCGTTGATCAGCCCCTGCCAGTCACTCTCGCTCCTCCTGCTCGGGTCCATCTCGCTCCGCACTGCAGGATAATGTTTATTAATAATGACGCAAGGTGAGTTTCAGACAAGCATCACCATGTTGTGATCAGATTCAGAGACATTTCGCATCATCAAAACGGATTAGGTGATCGAGGAATGCGAGCTGCATCACATCCGTCCGGGCCCTACGTCAGAGAAGCGTCACGCCGCATTTGGAAACCCTCGGAAAATTGGGCACCTTCTCTCTGTATTCTCTCTGTATTAAATAAGCTTATATGAAATTAGGAAATTAGTAATCATGTAAATAAATACAGACAAAATATATAACATTTATTTACTTATTCACCGTTTCTACAGTCAGAATCAAAATGCCTTTTCTTGTCATTGTATCATTAAAAAATTGTTCAACCATCCAGTCCGCACAATTAAATAATAAATCATAATCAATACATGAGTATAATAGGTAAAAACTACACATATGTTTCTGAATATTGCAGTTAGAATGTTGTATATTTCTTTTATGAGTACTGCACATTTAGTGTAGTAATTATACCTATTAAGAAAGATTTGTCCTGTGTATTTGAATTTGTTTAAGACCTTATCACTGTGGGAAAAAACTCTGTTTTTTCCAAGGTCATTAATTAATCTTTTAATATTCTAATATTTCATAGTAATGAGCAAGTTTATGGTTATATTATACATTTTGTCTGAATTTATTTAGGTGGTTATTTATTTCATACTACCTTGTTTGTATCAAGTAATGCAAACTTTGTGTCTCCACATTTTGTGCATTTTGTGGCACAAGTTACTTGAATTCGATGTTCATGTACTCTCAGTGCACAATGACAAACCCATCACTAACAGCGCACAAATAGGCCACTCTTTTTTCTTCTTCAAAGATTAATGGCCCATCAAATGCAGTACAAAGCATCAGTCATAATCATTCCTTCAAAATGAACATGATTTATTACAAGTTATATTTTTTCTAAAGCATCTGATTGACAAAAATAAATGAGGCACATGCCAAGGTTTGGGAAGTATTCTAGTTGATCTATTAATGTATTTTAAGGTTTGCAGTCTCAATTGACTTTCATTTGCAAAACAGATGTTTCATAAATTTACAGAACTGAAGCCCTGATAAATATAACTGGTGTGATTAGGGACTTCACAGCAGCCATTTGACCTTTGACCCCTTATTCTGGGACATCAGGGATTAGGGTGAGGGCAGAGGTGTCTCATGTTTCTTTGCCTTTTGTCTTTGAGCGTGACTGTATACATTTCACACAGATTAAAGAAGATGCTCTCGTCTCATAGTGTGCACGAGGAGGAAAAAAACAGCCTGTAACATGCAGCACTTCATGAAATAATTCATGACAGAGAATGCAATAATTCTACTTGCATGTGACATAGTGTCTAAGAATGTGGCGAAAGCTCACAAATCCAGATTGTTTAGTAAATATCTGTCACTGTTGGTATTATATAATGGACAGAAAATATATGAAGGCTACTTGGCAGCAGTGTTTGAGTCTAAAGTCTGGAGAGCAGGTGGGGAGAAATTTGACAAGAGTTTATCTCTGGAGAATTTTAAAGTGGGATCAATCATATCACCTCTCAGCACTGAATGACAATAATAACAGATAACTGATTATGACATATTCTTAAGCGTGTAGGTGTGACTTTAACATTGGATGGGACATATATGAAACAGGGGGTATAGGGGTCATCTCCCAGAAAATTCTGAGCACCAAACACTTAACGTCCTGCATGCTGGGGAATGTTTATGCACCAATGTGTGTCTTTTCTGCATCAATTTCTGGCGTGAATGTCTTAAATTTTGTCAAAAGTCAGTTTTTATTATGGGAGACAATGCACGTTCTAAATATTGAGGGGTTTTTGTCCCCTGCGCCCTCCTGAAATCTATACCTATGCATATCCTTGTTCTCTTGAATAAACCATATGATTGTATTAATTGTCCTCTGTTGCTGAAAGAAAATGCTGTCTCAGACGTCACATGCTGACAGCACTATCAATTTCGAACATGCTGCCTGAGGCACATTGTCTCTGCTTCATGGACTCATTTCGCAGCCTTTGCATCTGACAGGAATGGAGGGAGGACAGAGTGAAACACAGAAGAATACGATACATGTGGTTAAATGTTCTTTAATGCATTTCCACAAACTCATTCTTATGCAGGACATGAGGACAGACAGAAGGGCAATAATGTTTTCTGCTTTCAACACAAACAAAAACATATTGCTTATGTTTGTTAGCATTTTGTAACATTAAGATGTTTGACCACGGGGTAATTTACACATCATGCTACTGTTACGTATGTGAAAAATGTTTATATTCCAAGCCATAATTAAATCTGTACAATACATGGAAAATAACAAAAGATCAGTATCTTAAAGAAAAGAGCACATATCTGTGTCTTAAGACCATGTAAGTGTCATTTTAAGTGACATAGCAGCACACACTTAACCTTGTGATTGTAATTCAGAGCAACACTCAGTATTATACACTTTGCATAGGAATCAGGAGTAAATTATATTTAGTTCTGACACTAATCAGACACTCTGTTAATACAGTAGCTTGTTATAAATGCTGTGCAATTAGGCTGAAGCTCATAATACTAAGCTAATACATTCAGCTGTGTTTCAGGGACAAACATCTTGAAGAAAACTTCTGTTTCATGTACATTTAAATCACATTAAGGAAGACGTAACAGTTTCTGGAACGACATGACTTCAACATTTTACTGACTGCTCAGAAGACAAGGTTCCAGCTGTCTCAAACAAATCAATTCATCCACAGAGTTTAGAGTGGACATTTTGTAGGGGTGGGCAAATACCAAAATATCAATGTTACAGATACTAAGTTTTCGTTTTGAAGATCAATTCCAGCATCAATAGGATTGATACCAAAATAAGGATCAGTTTCCCTCTTCTATGTTATACCCAGTATTTAAGGAGCCAAACTGTCTCTGTAAACAAAATCCTGTTGTTGTAAATACATCTAATACATGTATTTCTTGCCTCTCTACTGCTGTTGTCAAGTTGTGTGCATTAAAAAGACAAGCATAAACAACATATGCATCGTGCACACTCAGCGCACAACCTGACTAGTTTAATTCAACACATAACTGCAGTGATGACTGAACGAAAGAGGAAACTGGAATTACTGCCTCGCTGTTCTATGCCTCCGCGGTCAGTCAAGTTGCAGTTTACATGCACAAGGTCCCGAGTTATGACGGCCATAAAAGTATTTTCGCAAAACATTATGATGTGACAGTGAATTTGACCTTTGGGATGTATAATTATTTTTTCCTGTTAGACAATTGTGTAAAGTTTTGACATAATTAATAAATGAATTCTTGAGTTGTGGCCAAAGAAATAGATTTTAAGGTCACAGGGACCTTGACCTTTGATCACCAAAATCCAATCAGACCATCCTTGAGTCCAAGTGGACATTTGTGCCAAATTTGGGGAAAATCCCTCAAAGCTTTCTTGAGATATTGCGTTCATGAGAACAAGATGAACGCAAGGTCACAGTGAATTTAACCTTTGACCACCAAAATCCAATCAATTAATCCTTGATTTCAAAGGGACATTTGGGTGTTCTTTAGATATCTTCACGCGAGTGGGACAGACAAACGGTCGGATGGACTGACAGCCTGAAAACATAATGTCTCCGGCCACAGCTATCACTGCCATGGAGGCATAAAAACCACAAGAAAGAGAACTTGGAGCTGCAACAGAAAAGAAGGTAGGAGGGAAATGCCTCAGCATCCAGACACCCGGCACAAAGACAGAGTTCATTGAAAGAGTGTTTTCAGAGATGCTCAGGAAATATAGTATCTCCAGGTATGCTGTCGTCAAATTAACATTTTAGTCAAATTGGATCTTTAGTTAATGTTACATTTTCAAACTGTAACTGGTCGTCTTTAGTTGTTACTTTCACAGACTGATTATTCACCTCATAAATCATGACACACTGTCCTCTCTTACATTAAAGTACATAAGCCGATTTTAACAGTAAAAAGTATTGGCGCTAGTATCAATATCAGCTATTCTGTCCCTGTATTACTTGTTTTCAGATTGAAACTAAATTTTGTGGTATCGCCCACCCCTAACATTTTGCTTGCAGCGGTGGATCCCATCTCATGGATTGGCCAGGCTATATGGTAGCAATGGCCGAGATGGACCCCCCCTTGGCTTGGTCCTTGCTTGTTTTACAGAATCACAATAAAAGCCATCACCTCTTACAATAATATCTAGTATGCCATAAAATTATCTTCATGCTGTTTTCATTTCAATGTTAACCATTTTTAAAATATTTCTGTCAGCCTTCAGTTTGACAGTAACGACTTGGGACCAATCAAACCTCCATATTTGCTGTAAATGCATATGAGCTGCAGAAACTTGCCTAAGATGTTTGTCTCAAATCAAGAAAGATATATCTAGTTGCATAAGGACGATATGCAGAATTTGAGTCTCTTTTGTAGCATAAACACAAATACTGATCTAAGTGACCAACTCCTACTGTGATTAGTCATAGTTTTGTGAGGCATTATAAGCTTAAATCTACAATGATATTCTCAAAAACCATCGATTTGCCCTTGAAGCTGGAGGAGAAGATGAAATTCCTGCGGTCAGTGGTCATTACAGTAAAGGTCCGGGGTGACTGCACATAAATGTCCTTGAACTTGTGGAATGTTTTGGTCTCGGTATCCCAGAGGTAGATCTGTGTGAAAGAATAATCGCTGCCAAGAGCAAGGTAATGCCTGTCTGTGAAGGTGAAAGGCTGGAGGATCATCGCTCCTCGAGAAGGCAGAGCCTGCACCTCAGTGAACTGCTTATTGGCCCACTTGAGAACTTTAGAGTCACCGATGTAGCAAGTCATGGCCAGATACAACTCATTCTCCACCCGGAAAGCCTTGACTGCCACCACGTCGTCGACATTTGGGATTTCACTGTGAAATATGAACTTCAGGGTGCTCTTGTTCCACAGGTAGATGACAGGCGGCTGAGACCGACTGGTCAAGATGAGGTAAGACTTCCCTTCAGACTCGACATACTCAGCATCTGTATCACGAAACCACTCATGGAGAAACTGGTAGGAGAAGAAACCTGTTTCATTGCGGTCCGGTTGGTCGGTCCACTTGTACAGTGTCGACAAACCCGCCTTGGAGCTGTCCACAATTACAAAGTACCACTCTCCATCCATTCGGAAGACTTTGATATCATTTGGCTTCGAGATGTTGAAGACCTCAATAGTTTGAAACTTTGTAAACTTGTTTTGTCGATCGTCAAACTTGTAAATATGGGAGCCTCCAAAGAGCTGGGTAACAATTATCAAGACATGGCTGTCGATCAGAACTGACCTGCACCCAACAACAGACTTCCCTGTGAAGATAAAGAAGTTAGAGGTGACACAACACCGAAAATGACAATAATTTCATAATAGAGTTATCTAAAGGCCCAAACACACCAAAACTACATCAAAGAACTAGTGGTGACAGAGGCTGACTGTTGCGTTGCCTCACATTGCCTGTGTTTTGGCCAATAAGCTGCACTTGAACACACCAAAAAGACGACAGCCAATGGCCAACCAGCACAAATGTTTTGTGCCTGCATGAGAGGAAATAACTCTCCATACCAGCAGGTGGTGGTAGTCTGTATTCGTCATTCAAAAAGGGAAACCGGAAGACTGAATTCAAGGCGCTAGTTAGCCAGTTAATATATAAACACACAACCTGATGTTGAAAAAACAAAATATATTTACTGTGCACTAGCGAACGATAACACAAACAGTTATGAGCCGTTTTTGCTAAAGAGCTCAATGCAAAAACTGACTGAAAGTCAAAAACTTGACTTTGTTGGCTTTCCTCACTTCCATTTCTCTTCTCATCACTAGGCTGACCTGCCAGTCAGAGTTATTTAATTCACCGACAGGTGCCACTGGTTTAGACGCCAATTAAACATGCTAAATCGGCCGAATAACAACCTTCAAGAACTGACTAGTGCCAACCAAGCGGCAACCCCTGGGGCTGATAAAATGGAGTCAACAGTGAAGTGCCATAAACTGTGGTCTTTAAATGGACACTTGAGGTTGGCCAGTCAGTCCCCATAGACCCCCATGTTAAAATGCCCAACTGGTAGAGCAGGCGCCCCATGTACAAGGCTGTTACTGCAGCAGCCCTGGTTCCCTAGCCCAAATATGGCCACTTCTGGCTCCAAAAAAACAAGAAGAGGTGCCAAACTATAGGCTTCGAAACAGGAGTCCAAAAACCAATGCATGATGTCATGGTACATCCATTATTTTTACAGTCTATTGTGCCAACAGTGAGGGAAACACCACAAAAACTAGGGCGACAGACACTCACAAATTGCCCAAACCTGACCAACAGACGACAGTCAGCTTGGTGTGTCAGTGCCATTTAAAAGATAGGGTGACATTATTAATAATATCTGACCAAAACCAACAATGTGTCAGTCTGTCTCCCAAGAAAAGAAGGTCATGAATATGCATGTTAATTTTCTTAATCAAATTAATCAATTAATCAAAACTTTTTCATGGGATCAATTCATCATTAGTTTTCTTTTTTTCATGAAATTTTCCGACTGTAAAAAAAATACAGAATATTATCATATTAATCCTGAAAGGAAAAAGATTATGAGTTTTGTCAAACCTGTTATATTGTCAAATTTCCTGAAGTTCATTTCAATGTGATCCCACTCCATGATCACACAGCTGTTGGAGTTGGGGGCAGCCATCGCCACGTAGATGTCCTCTTTGAAAAAGAAAATGTCCGCTGACATGGACTGAATGGGAATGGACTGATGACGCACAAAATCTGTGAGAAGTGGACAGAAACAGAAACGACCAGTCTGCTGACGAAGTGATGGAGTCGACATTTAAAACCTCACTGCTTCACATTTTTTATGCTGTGAAAAGCTTCTGAATGACACTGTGTAGAATCATGGCTATCATATTCTGGGTTTAATATTTTGCAATATTTAATACAGCGTACTTTCTATCATTCTTGTGTTTTTATAGTATCCTACATGATGTGACTATTGTGAAAATATCATTTTTTCTTACTCTAAGGGAAAGAGAAGACTGAGAGACTCAAAGAAGAGAATAAAGGCCTGACTGTGATTGTTGTTGCAAAGAACCATTCGTAGCTGCAAGCACGAGGACCTACTTGCTTAATTCAGCACATCACACGGGTATTAAAAACAAACATCACAGTAAGTTATGCTACCATATGGCCAACTAAAGCAGGGCACAGTATGCTTTGCAGGAGTGGTGTACTATATTCTGTAGTTTATCATCATACATAAGACACAGATAGGTCAAATAGCAAAACAGCCTATAAACACACAAATGTATGAGCTTCAGATTGCCGACAAGGGATCAAGCCCTCACCCACAATGTTTCAAGTTACCCATCAGATGAGACCCTATTTTTTTTGGCACAATCAAAACATCAAATGCAGGGGTCATGTTTCAACAAACTAGCACTCATCAATAATGGTCTAAGTTTACGCATAATCCATGATTATGAGGATAAAAAAAATTAGAAGCGGATGGCAAAATTATCATATTGTCAATATTTTAGAGGCCTGCCGAAAATTTGTTTTCAAGGGAGGTCATGTCTCACTAAGAGAGGTCAAGCTCCCCCTGGGTGTTTCTCAAAGTCAAGGAAGGATACTTAAAAGGCTGAACTTCAAGGAGGCTATATCATCCAATCCCATCGAAGGACTGTTTAAATATCAAGGATCCTTCAAAGTCTACTGAGGAGAAAGTCCTTCCTTCAGAGAATTTTAAAGGATGCATGTATATCCTCAGCGTGCATAAAGTACCCACAGTTCTTTGCACATGATTTGCTGGTGAAGCTTGACAGGATTTGTATTAATATCTACAGGAGTTTTTATCATACAAGCATGAAAAAGTATTGGTAGGACTCTTATAATTTACACTTTCAAATGTGTCCACTGCCAAATAACATGATTTTTAGGTGATTTTGAAAAGTTTTTAAATTAATCTGTCACAGCAGAGATGGAGCACGTGTTTTTTTTAAAGTATAATTCAGAGATATGTTCTTCCTAAAATTCATGTGACCCTGAAAATACTGCTTACGTTTGCTCCAATTGTACAACAACATTAGAGAGTGTCAGAACTATCACAGTATCGTGAAACCCCCTCCATCTCCAGAGGGTTAATGACACACATCTGGTGCACTTGCTAGCCTCTTCCAATGTATGTTCACTGAATGCTAAGAAGGGGTCTTATCTTGTTTCTGTATCAAGGAAGGATCCTTGACTTTGAGAAGCACCATCTGCCTCCTCTGCAGTTTGCACCAAGCGTGCAGATTGAGGGGTGTGGCTCTTCCAAAAATGCTTTTGGATTTAATTACAGCGCCATGTGTGGCCAATTAGCTAACTAGCACTTGTTTGCATGTTCATACTAAACTAAGATGGTGAACATGGTATAAACATTATGCCTGCTAGATATCAACATGTGAGCATGTGTCAGCGTGGGCATGTTTGCATGCTGACATTAGCATTTAGCTCAAAGATCTACTTTAGCACAGTGTGCCTGAGTGCAGCCTCACAAAGCGGCTGGCATAGCTATAGATGTTTGCGCCTGCATGTACATACATACATACGTGTGAGTGCTTTAAGAGACACACATGTTTCCAGGCCTGCAGTCTGCTTGTTTGTTTTTGAGTGCATGGTAGTGTCCTGTTGAATTATTGAACAGTTTTATTGATCTCTTTCTTTCTTTTTTTAACATGGCATCTTTAGCTGTGCCTGTGCCTGTTCACAACTGCCTTTGATAGTGTACTCTTCGTTTTACCTGTGGAGATGCACTCGCCCGGTGGAATAGGAAGGTCGTTGAGCCGCTTGCCCTTCATGTCACTGGGGCCTGCGCAGAAGACATCTGATACTGTGGCGTTTGTGTTTTTCAGCCACATCATCAGCCACTTGTTCTCACAGATGCACTGGAAAGAGTTGCCTCGGAGATCCCTAATGTACAACATGACAAAATCAGCTCAGACACATTTACTGAACACAATAACACATGTAATGTATCTTAACAGTAATTGGTATGACTTAACAATTAAAGGTCCAGTGTGTAGGATTTAGGGGCATCTATTAGCAGAAATAGATATAATATAATAAGTATGTTTTCTTCAGTGTATAATCACCTGAAAATAAGAATCATTGTGTTTTTGTTGCATTACAATAAGCCGTTGCACCGCCATGTTTCTACAGTAGCCCAGAATGGACAAACCAAACACTGTTTCTAGATGTTATAATAAGGCCATTCACGTTTTCACGTCAGCTACCATAATTAGCAGCCCCTCCGTGACAACCAGCATTGAAGAAACCCTAATTTGTAATGTGGAACTGTTTTTGTCAGTTTAAATTTCCAAATTTGTTTTGGAGAGTAAAAGACCTCTGCGGATTATTTGGCTCCTGGAGAAAAACCTCCTGAACATCTGGATCAGTAAAAAAGGTGAGCACATATTAGCAGGTCCTGGGCAGTGTCAGTGTCGAAGAAACACTGGTATGTAATGTGAAACTGCTGTATTCAGTTTTTATTTTCACCTTAATTACAGTCCATTTGTTTTGGAGAGGAAGAGACCTCTGTGGATAATTCAGCTCACCGTTAAAACCTTGTTAACAATGAACACTAATGGAATTCTGACTAGAAGTTCTTGCTTGATGCATGGGATAAATTTCAGCTGGTTGCAATCGGCAATCCTCACCACTAGATGCCACAAAATCCTACTTACTGTTCCTTGAAGTATTGCAGAATCTCTTAACCAACACTGGGTGATTGTTTGATGCATACATAAATAATTTCAGCTGCAGTTTATGTTACAGAAAGGTTTTTCTAACAATCATTCACCGACAGGCACTTATGCATCATTGTAAGGACAATAATGTTATTAAAAAATGATAATAAACTGACAATTTTAACTGTAAATAGAAGTCACCATCAAACTATGATGCACTACAGAGGAGGAGGAATACAGAAACTTAACATTTGTGCTGTTCTTGTGGGGTTTAATGCAGCCAAACACAAAACGAAGCCTGAGTCAGCTTCACTTAGGAATGCAGTATGGAATAAGACAACACACACACACACACACACACACACACACTGCTGACACCACAAGTGCTTACTCACAGTTCCAGCAATGAATCCAAGTCGAAAAAGAGATCTCTTGGCAGAAACCTCATCTTGTTATTGGCAAGCGATCTAAACCAGAGACACGACGAGACCAGAGAAATGACATCACATCATTGTCACTCCTGAGCCTGTCTGGCTTTTAACATCAATCCTTGTCTGTAATAATAAAGTGTTGGCAGCAGACTTACAGATGAGTCAAATCTCGCAGACCACGGAAGGCATTTTTGGTGATCGTTTCAATCTTGTTCCCTTCAATGAATCTGTTCAATGAGATAAACATGAGTAAAAGAAATACAGCAGTGCATATTATCATCATGTCAGATAGTTTTTTTATATGAATAAATGGTGTAGCTATTGATACAGGAGAGGTAATGTACAGGGTTGTGGAGATTGAGATGGGTGGATTGAGGGGTGTGGCTGGAGAAGGAGAAATGATCTGCAGTTGTATTTACAGCATGATGTCATACAGCCTTTCAACATCATTATCAATTATCGACTGTTTTGCATTTAATTGTGAATATACTTAATTGATAAAGGAAATCACAAAACAACAAACACACATGAGGAAAGCAGTAACTTTGTCGACAAATACTCACAAATATTCTAGATGTGGGAGGCCGGAGAAAGCATCATCTTTGATTGTTGTCAAAGAATTTGCATTTAGAAGTCTGCAAAGGAAAAACATTGAGTAAACTGAAAATTAAAACTTCCCTCATTGGCACTTCAACTCCAAGTTTACCATGAGAGACAGAAAGAAAAGTTTGCATTACTGATAATCCATCTACTTTTTTGTTTGTGTGTCTGAAATGTCAATTTTTAATCAGCAATCAATCAGTGACAGTTTCACATGACAAAATTGCACTTACAGCAGCTGTAGAGAGGGCATCAGTGAAAACATGCCCTCTGTGATTTCAGAAATAGATCCATTTACCATGCTCCTGTTGGAAGAAAACAAAAGTCTTACTCGGGCTGGGGCATTTTAACACCCTGTACCAGACACACCAGAGCCAACTCTGCAGGGAAGCACCCAGCAGCAAGCAAATTGTCTCCTTGAACGCAACACTGATTGCTTTCCTCTTGACTAGCTATATAGATAATCCACAAATACGATGTGTTACTCACAGTGAGTTGATCTCACTCGGTATAGTCCGGGGAATCTGTGAGGTACCGACGCAGATGATGGTCTCCTTGGTGCAGGTGCATCCTGAAGGGCATTTGAAATTCCTCTTAGATTCAGCCGCTCCATAAATACACAGAAGCGCCAAACCGGCCAGTAGCCACTGCTGTGTGGATGTCATGTTGCTTCTTGAGCATTAATAATAGTAAATGAGGTCGTGGTCGGTGCTGGCAGCAGCTTTTACCCGCCTGGGCGACATCAGAATGCAGCACAAAGTGGAAAGCCCTGACACAGGCTGATACGACTGCAGCTGCGTCCCGGAAGGCTGCTTCGAGTATCGGGCAAGGGGGGAAAAACAAAAGCGTCGAGTTGTCAGTAATCACAATGGTAATTTGTTGAGAAGAAAGACGCTTAAGATTAGAGTGAATGTGTATTTAGTAAGGGACTGTTGTTTATTTATCAGAGGAGGGGGGTGACTTTGTTTTCTTGTTTTATTTTGACCCTCCCTGAAGCTGCAAATATTTTTCCTTGAGCCTCCTTCCACCAAAAAATAGTTATTAGTTTTTGAAAACTTAACCTTTGGTGTTTAAAACTTAAAAATTAATGTTAAAGATGAAATCCTGAAGTTGAAAAAGCTGTGTTTTTTTTTTTTTTTTTTAAACTCTTGTCGTGGTTAGTTAGGGCAAACGGTTTATTTTGGCAAATTTTTAAATGAGATGAAAAATAAAGCGATTTTAATAAAACTGACCTTTCGCTAAGTCCCGCCCCTGGACACAGACTGGCCAATCATAATGTAGCATTAGGCGGCTCAGACCAGGGTCCGACAACAACACAGCTGTGCTCCATTGACTCTAATGCAGTCGTTTCAGATTTCCTTCATTTTCAGGCTGGTTTTGTGGATTTGGAGTTAAATGTTGTGCCTGGGGCACGTCGTGTATTAATGATACTCGTTACCTGGAGAGGTTGGAAAAAGATACGTTTCTTCCCTGTTCCAAAACCAAAATCAGACCCTGAAAAGTGTAGGGTTAGCTAGCTAGCTACTGAAGATATAGCCTACTGAATGTATACACATGCTGCTTTTGCTTTTTAATGATTAACACTTCCTGCTGTACAGGAACCAGGGAGAGGAAGCAGGGAAACTTTGCTGATATTCAACCAGCTCTGTGTCATCACATTGTGCACAGATGAATGTTTGACTTCCCCCGGAGATCCCTACCCATTTGGCAGCGGAGGTCCGGGTGCTGGCAGCGGCACGGGGGTGAAGCCAAACACCGTTCATCTGCACACACTGTGATGCCACACAGCTGGTTCAATATCAGCAGAGTTTCCCTTTATATTCATTGTGTTCTGTGGCGATCAGCAGTGATGTGGTGGTTCACTTTTACACTGTGATCTGTAGCCTATAGTTCGGCTTTAGCTTCTAACTATCTTTGTCTTTTTAACCTGTTGTTGCTGCTGAGTCAGTTTGACATCCTGGATATATCCTTCAAACACAGACTGTAGACCCCTCTGTCTGCTTCTCTCTGGAATCACTGTTTCAGTTTTCCTAAAATATGGTAATATTTCTTCAGGGAGTGCAGTTAGTTACAGTGTGGGCTCCATGCTTACTCTGACAGCTTGTCGGACCATCACAAAGGGGCGGGGCAGAGAACCAACTCAGCAGTATATCTGACAGTGCTGTATGCAGGAAGGAATGTTTAAAGTGCTAGTCAAGGTGGAGAATCAATACAAAATGGCACTAAAGCACAAAAATGCTCGGTGGTTATTTCTGCATCACAGACAGCATTATTATTAAACACATATTTAAAATGTGCATGCACTTGCAGACTCAATCACGTGACACACTCAGCATACCAGAGCACTTTGACTTCGTTAGTACCATAAAGAGAGTGCATTAACAAGTAATGCTGTCTGTAGACCATACATTATATCATCATTACTCTCTCTAATGCATGTACACAAACAATCCTCCCAACTGACAAATATTCTCCTCTAATCAATGTTCAGTTTGATTGAGATAGATGTTACTGATGAACTGATGTTACTGAGTTAAGAGCTCTGCACTGTGAACACAGACACACACACAGTGGTGGCGTGGTGGTCTATGTGTGTGCTGTTACATGATTACACCACTAGAGGGAAGCTGCTGATAACCAAAAACTTAAACATATGTAAATGTTCTCTTAGTTACTTTCTATTGGGAAGATATCTTTCTATGCATATATAACCTCTTATGTTCAATGCTGTGGAAGCTACTTTAAAGGCAAAGCTTTGCAAACTACAACTACTTCACAGTGGAAGAAGTTGAACTACAGCAAAGCTACAATTGGGAGAAATCTAATTTGGTTAAATAAAAAAGAGTAGATCAAACAACAAATTGCTGTACATGATTGATTGATTGACTGATTTTTTATTTTGTGTCATGCACACTTACATGTGCCCAACCCTCATGGGTTTACAAGACACCATTATAGTTGCAGTAACAATCCAAAGTGCATGTTTTTTAACTATTCAGTCCAGAAACAGAATACTCTGTCCTCTTTCCCAGGCCTAGCAAAGTAATTTAGCTACAAAACAAATTACCTTTCTTAAACAAAACTCACATTTTTCATGATCATCCAACCAAAAGAAATCAGCATAGACAGAGGTCATCTTACTGAAAAGTACATTCCTTATGACCTCATATACAGGAGCGTAAAAGAAGAATTGAACCCATTCTCAGCATCACGTTAATTACACAACAAACAAATTCTGTCCTGTTTTGGGGTGGCATTAAACCTTCCAGTCTTAATGGCTAATGTTAACGTTCCTGAGCACAGTGTGCACACAGGGATCTTTGTCTTTTGTTAAGATTATACATCACTTAAGGATTCGCACTGTTGCTAATCTTTATGAGACAATAAGTTCGTAGTTTTGGTACCATATGTCAACAGACCACACTCCTAACTGTACATGTGATATGAAATGTTAACAATACACAATACAAAAAGTCACATGCCAACAAAAATGTCACTCAACTGTTTATTGCAAAAAGTGCCCACTTGTTCATAGGTCATACAGAAACCAAAACATAAGCTAAATGTCCACTACTGGTGGGAAAGTGCAAGAAATATCAGCTTAGGTTCAATATACAATGTCCATCAGTCAGACACCTGCCTTCAGAAACTACAGTCCAAGCAGGATTACTCAGTCAGCCAGGTAACTTCTAAAATAGCATGCAACGACTTCTCTGAACATTCATTCATTCATTCATTCATCTTCTAACCGCTTCATCCTCTTGAGGGTCGCAGGGGGGCTGGAGCCTATCCCAGCTGACATCAGGCGAGAGGCGGTGTACACCCTGGACAGGTCGCCAGACTATTGCAGGGCTGACATATAGAGACAAACAAACATTCACGCTCACATTCACAACTACAGTCAATTTAGAGTTATCAATTAACCTAGTCCCCAATCTGCATGTCTTTGGACTGTGGGAGGAAGCCGGAGTGCCCGGAGAGAACCCACACTGACACGGGGAGAACATGCAAACTCTGCACAGAAGGGCTCCCACACTGTAGTGTAAAAGTTCGTGTTCAACAAATCAAGTAACAAGGTTAAGATACATAAGTTGATTAAGAGACAAAAAGATTATATAATCATGTTTCATGTACAGGGCGTTATAAAGCTCCTTGATCTGCATCTGAATATGATAAAACGTTGTATATGTCAAAGTATTCATAGCACCAGACTATGTAATCATGTTGTATGCACCTACTGAAAGAACACACTATGTCTTGTTTAATGATGAAACACATACTCAAATGTTGTAATACACACACACATATTCACATATTGTGTTCTAAAGGTTCACTTTGTATAAGAATGAGAGCACTGAGGACTGCATAAAAAGTCCCCAAAATTCACATGTTTTTTAAAAATAGAGTGAAAGCGAAACCAGACCTAAGGGTAGAAGATTTGGGAAATTCCAGGCTGCATTACACCATTAAAAACGGGCCCAATCAGAATTGGACACAAAGGAAAGTTTTCCACCAATAGAATTGGATTTGATTGGGAAGGATTAGCAAAAGAGGTGGAGACTCATTTGAATCTCCACCAGCATATAATCCAGGGCTCTGAGAGCAGTTTTTCAGTCACACTCCGGAGTCTGACTCGCTAAGTTGTATGTGTTAAAGCCTGTTGACACATTAAACTTGATTGCATCGGACTTTGCCTGTTTNGTTTTTGCCAGCTGAGCCTAAGATATCAAAATCGACATTTGAGGACAACTGACAAGAGACAAGAGGTTCAAGGTCGGGAGCCTACAGGCCCACTTCCAGGCGCCGACTTTAGACACTTCAACACCCGGGATCGAACTGGCAACCCTCTTGCTGTGGGACGACATTGCTAACCACCACACCACCTTACCGCCCCTTCTCTGAACATTTGTTCATAATTAATAATAATAATCAACACTTCACTTAGTAATCATCATTCCTTTTCTTCTTAATGGCCCCAAATGGTTTGTAGTTTCAATGGTCAACTACAAAAACATGGCAAAAAAAGCAATTTGAAGATTTGAATCACTATGCAAACATGAATATAAATGAACTACCAGAAAGCTACTGCATAATCTAGTAAAAGTACTAGTTTAATTTTGAGTAGCTCACTGGGGAGCCCAGTAGCTTTGTAGGTAGAGCAGGCGCCCCATGTACAAAGGCAGTATCCTTGCCACAGTAGCTACAGGCTTGATTCTGGCTCATGGCCCCTTGCTGTATGTCCTTTACCATCTCTCCCTCTTTTACTTGTCTGTCCTGTCATCGGAGACAAAAAGCCCCCAAACTAACCTTAAAAAATTATATGTAGTTTACTGCTTCCCAACACTGCTTGTATAATGTGTAACAAAAGCAGAATAACTGAGAACAACTCTGCACACAAATGTATTTATTCAGAAGTGTAACTGAAATAAAAATTGCTACAACATATCAGAATGCTTCTTTCTTTCCCTTTTCAGGTTGTTTTCTTGCAGTTCTTTGGATTTTAGGCCAGTGTTTGCAATTTTATAGCTGTAAATGTGTGATATGAACCAAGCAACTACATGTTTTATGTAGTAAATTGATCAGGAGGAGGAGCAGGATGTTGATGATGATACTTTAATTGTGAGATTGAGTCTAAATTTTTTCTTGCCTCACTGCAGCGCCATCATAAGGACAAACATTTTGGACAGGAAACAAAGATACATACATTAATCAACAATCGAGACCCTTCAACGTGCATTTGAACATGATTAAGCTCCATGTTTAGTTTTATTATTGACTGCTGCACAATTGAATGCTCCACTCTAACCTTATTAAAACTGGGACTCTGTTTCTTTGATTTGATTGCAGCAGTCCATATTCACTGTTCAGGACATGACTGGGGTCAGAGACAGTGTTGTTGGCCAGCCTGTATATGTTTGTTGTTTCACTTGA